AAACCACAAATGTTCTTTGGGGTTTACATGTTTTATTTACATGCGAACAAATAATGATTGGTGTTGATTAAAGAAATGTAAACAGGACCTCGCCCAGCCAGCACGGCTCAGTGGTTGAGCATTGACCTATGAACAAGGAGGTCAAGGTTTCATTCCCGGTCAGGGCACATGCCTGGGTTGCAGGCTCAATCCCCAGTGTGGGGTGTGCAGGAGGCAGACAATCAATGATTCTATCTCATTATTGGAGTTTCTATCTCTCTCTCTCTATCCGTTTTTGAAATCAATAAAAATATATTTTAAGAAAACAAACAGGACCTGAGTTGGTGAAAATTGCTGGCTGTACACATCACCAGGTCGGTATTTGATCCTGGGTGACCTACATGAGCAGTTCTGATGCTGGCAGTGATGATGTGGAATGGTTACAGACACAATCACGTGCTTTTGATCCTTTTCCCTTCCTATCTCTTTGACAGAAATAACACTAACTAAATGCCTTCAGCCTTCTCTGGCATGCAATTTTTCATCCCAGCACAATATAATGTACTGAGGACCTAAAAGAAATTTAATAATCCCTGCATTCTTGTGATTTGTTAGACCTTTCCAACAAACATATAATATTTGCTTGGAGATAGAAGGTAACAGGCTCACGCTCGCAGCAAGATGAATGTTTCATTAGATGGTAGGCAGGCACGTACTGGGAAGTGTTGCCAAGAGAGTATAAGCAGAATGTCCTTCTATGGATATTTTAAAGACCTATTTAAATACTCACAGCTTTTTGTGTAACTTTCCGGATAGATCTGCTAGAGGCTGGGGAACGAACTGTATGGACCTAGTAAGATTCCACCAACTTCCAATATTCTGAAGTAGTATGTCCACTCAAGTGCACTCAATATTTTTATTTTTATTTATTTTTTTTTGAAATATATTTTATTGATTTTTCACAAAGAGGAAGGGAGAGAGATAGAAAGTTAGAAACATCGATGAGAGAGAAACATCGATCAGCTGCCTCCTGCACATTTCCCACTGGGGATGTGCCCGCAACCCAGGTACATGCCCTTGACCAGAATCGAACCCGGGACCCTTGAGTCCGCAGGCCGACGCTCTACCCACTGAGCCAAACCGGTTTCGGCAAGCACTCAATATTTTTAGATACCATACACAAGTTTGTGAAGCTCTGTTGTTCACGTGGGCAATCATTAGTTTGAATGCTCAGTTTTCTTCAGAAAAGAAACACAGGGCCTTGTCTTTAAGATAAAACTAAAATAAAAACCTTTAAGTTCACCTATGTGAAGTTCAGGCTAATGGAGTTCTAATATTTAGCTTGGCTAATTAGGTACCATTCTTTGCCCTGAATTTAATTATCCCAGCCACTGAGGTAATTTAATATAATAATAATAAAGGGGCTCATGAGAAAGAAAAGAGAACCTGACTCTTCCTTCATCTACTTCATTGGGGGTATTTCTGCTTCAAGTGTCAGTTTATGGATGGTAATATTTTACCAGGATTATGAATTTTCAATTAATGAGCAAATGAAAGTGAAAGGCAGACAGTAGGTCCTCAGTGAGTGATTGTATCAGGAAACCACTAAAAAGCTCATCTGTAAAGTTCAGGGCATATTTCAATATGACTTCATGATACCTCAGGCAGCTCTTCCTCCCTAGGTTGAGTTTCAATCATGTTCTTTATTCACTGTCTGAATAAGTCCTTGGTTACGGTTTCTATTCAAAGGTAAGAAAGCCAAATATATGCTGCTTCTAAGCAAAACTGAATGCGAGAATAAGAAGGTGACCTTTCTTGTTTAGCTGTCACTCCGAGTACAAATGGTACGTTCCCTTAATTACGCTCAAGCTCTGCCTCTCACACCCGAGGCGCTGTGTGGGAGAATCCGGTGGATTCAGACCCCAGTGGGAAACTTGCTGGCTATTCCAAGTAACTTGATCTCACTGAGCCTCAATATTATCATCTGTGAAATGAGGGCAGTGCTATCTCCTCCCAGATTGCTGGAGGAGAAAGTGAGAGAAAGCAGAGGCCACCACACAGCCTATAATAATCAATGCTCTGAAAATGGTGACTCCCTTTCACCTGAACAAGTCACAAGTATGCTTATAACTGAGGAACAGGCACGAATGTAGGACAATGCCAAACATAACGGCCAATGTGCCAGCTTCTTATCAACCAAGGCAGTGTTCCTCACACTGTAAAGTGCCGGCGATTCACCTGGGATTCTGGTTAAATATAGATTCGCATTTGGCCCGAGAGTCTGCATTTTAACAACTCCCAGACGCTGCGGATATTGCCGGTTGGAGATCATACTTTTAGTGCCACGGAACTAGGGCAATGACTTTTGAATACAGAGTTGACTTTTGCAACTTAGCGAAACAGAGTTTTACTCTACCTTTTTTGTTTGTTTAATGATAAAAATACTGGGGAAAGCTGAAGCTGCTACAGGAAAAAAAAGTTTGAATGAACACATTTAAAAATCTGGGAAGCTCAGATCCATTCTACACACTTTCATTTATTGTCTGGACAGATAAAGTACAAATAATTCAAACACAACAAGGTTATGGAAAAAGAACCAGTTACAATACGTTCCCTCAGAAATCATCTAAACTAGCAAGATTAACATGAAGTCATTCATTATAACTAAAGTATACAACTGCCTGGTCCTAAGATTTCTTCCCCCCCAGCGTGAACACATTTAGAGGAGAGGTTTTGGCATGCCTTTCCCACTATGCTTACTTAGCAAATGCATCAAAACTTTGCCAGCAAACTGCATTCATTCATAGCAGATGACGTAAAAAGGTTTCCCTGAATGTTGAACGAGTGTTCTCTGAACTGAAATATGTTTTGTGTGTTTTTTTTTTCCAAAATAAAAAAGAGGAAAAATTTTTAAAAAATGTAAAGGAGGAGTCTCCGATGCAGCCTTGTTTTTCGGTACTCTCTACACTACCATGACTACTACAAAGTTCGCCTCTTCAGTGTGAAAACAGCAGTCTGTCTGCATGCACTTAGTGGGTTCAGCATGGGGAAAAAACGCACAAAATAAGCACAAGTTATAAATAACCATAACATTTTATTACCATTAAGACTAAACTTGTATTGAAAAGGTTTTATATAACAAGACAAGAAAAGCAATAGCAAATTTAACTATCAACTAGATTATGCATAGCGAGTAACTGTTTCTATTACCCAGGGAAGAGCATGAACCCTTGTATTTTTTTGTTTTGTTTTTGTTTTAAATATAGAACCGTACAAAGCACAAACGTACTAAAATGATCAGTGCACTGGACATGGGAGAATGCTCCCTCAGTCATTTTGTTCCCTTAGCTCTGTTTTGTTTCCCCCAATCTGAATTACATGAAAATAAAGACCCAGTTGTTTTTATTTTTCTACTGTGCAGTAAGAAAAAATATTCACAATAAACATGACAATATACCAAACAATAGTTCTACACAAGTTACCTTGATACCTCTTTAACTGTCACTTAAATAGCATAAGAAAACATTTTAAGACATTACAAACAAAACTAGCCAAGTGTTACAACTTATAATAAATTAACCCAAAGAAAAATAACTTTATATATATATATAT